CAGAGCGCTTTATACTATTTTTGGGGATGTGGCCAAAATTCTAAATGATGGATTGAAATAAGAGTATCAGTTAATTTACACTGGAAATGTGGGCCTTTTGACGACATTCTTCGTGCCAATTGTTGATTTCTTGAAGCTACAGCAAGTTGAGAAAATTACCAAAATAGAAGAACATATCCAAATATGCGCATTAGATAGTAGTTATATTTAATTGTGTCTAGCAGCGCTTATTTTTCCACAACCTGTAATTTAAAGTATTAATTCAATTTCTTTGAATATTAAAGAGCAAGCTGAGGAATCAGGCTAATTAGGCATTTTGCGTACAGGTGAAGTCAATTTCACTTTCACAATTTGGAAAAGGGCATTGTTATATCGAACACAACTTGATATTCAAGGCGCAGACCAACCATCTTGAGTGCCATGCCTACTTACTATTTGAATGCAAGCGTATCTCATATTCTTTACGTTTGGCTAATATTTCCTAACCTACAAGTAATGCTTACAACTAATCAGAATTTCGTATGTTTGGTAAGGAATCACTCTTTTGATATCCAAATGGTCCTACTACCGTAAGTTTGTTTATTTTTAACCACATTATCTATGCTCAGAAATACAGCTGAAATGCAAATGCTGCTATTTTCTACGCATTTAAGGAGAATTGGCGACACATGCAGAATCCGATCTCGGAATATTTGCTGTAAACGTTTCATGGATCGGCAATGTCGGATATGACACTTATAGTTGGAACTTAAATCGTTTTGTAAGCCGAGTCGGCGTTATTACGAGGAAGGCCTCCTGTTTTTATACTGCGTTATTATAAGAATCTTGCCAAGAGAAGTTTAGCAAGTGCAAAAGGACTATTATATTGGACCGCGCTAATTGAACGTGCAAAATTTCAGGGCGCAAATTAAAACGGCATTTGAATTTTACATTCTATCACTTTTGCGTACTTCCGCCCATAAATTACGAAAGCTCTTCATTATCTTAGAATTTAAAAAAAGTATTCAGTAATAGCATCTACGATGGATGCGTTAATACTGCTGTTATTGGTGGTTAAGGTTCGAGTCCGATTAATTTGAGCACAGGGCATTGAGGCATCACCTAAGTTGATATGCTATGGCGACTCGCTTCGTACAGTATTTGTTGTCTCACGAAAGCACATTTATTTCTTTCTTCTCGTGTTAAATTTTGTGCAAAAATATACCTTTCCTAATGCACAATACTTGACAATACTTGTCATTCTTAAAAAATAATGTGCCTTTTTTAAGATGCGTTTTAAAATGACTAAGATGGAATCTGTTTTGCATTCTATGAATAATTATTGCTTGATGAATTCACCAGCCTACGAATTCTTTACTTTATTCACACTCCATTTTTGAACACATCTGTTTATGAAATTACACCCAAAATTGTTACAAGGCACAAACATTTTCACTCCTATAAATGGGAATAATTTCTACATCTTTGCTTTTAAATGTACGCCGATTGTTAAATATGTTCATTGTCACTAAAGGTTTTTCGTCCCCTTTTCCTCCATGACAAGCGCTGATTGCCGTTACCATCAAGACCACCGCTGCCTACGCAAAATCTAATTGGTCACTTTTTGCACAATGATGAAGGTGCCTTTGCTGATTTCGCCTGATGCCTAATTAGCTTGAATCTTATCTCCGCCACAATTCACTGAGCAATGTTTGCAATTACTTAATCGTACCTCAAATGTGCTGCATCCAAAAGACATTTAGAAGCAGTTACGATTTTATTATCTCACCTTTCATGGCACAGTGTGCATCTATGAGATAAATCAGTAACGATGGAAAGGAAGACCTACCAAGGGAGAGCCTCCCGGCTGCCCCATAATCAGACGAGGAAAGAATTTACTGTAGAAGTTAAATTTTTTGTTCTTGCCTAATTTTATAAAAATGAATGAGAGCTTTTAATTCACTTTCACAAAATACAATTCGATATTTTAAAAGTGGAATCCGTAACGATGAAATAACTTCTCTCCCCACCACTGTCTCTGAGTTGACCTATACTGAGCGGAGGGAAAACCCTCCTGTTAAATAGGGACAAACCAACAAGTCGACATGCACAGTTGTCTGGAATCTCTAGTTACAAATTCTTTTCAAATGCTATGCCACTTTTTGGAGCCTTTTTATTCTTATCCAAGCATAAAGCGCTGTATTAACAAAAGCAATTATTTGAGGGTGAACGGCTTCCCACTTGACCAGTACCAAAGCGTTTTTATTGGGGTAAAAGAAACTCCATGCCTAATGGCTGTCGTGTCGTAGGAAACAGTGACTACTGGGACGCCGCAGTAGCAATGCCTTCTGCTGCCACTAAAACTTTTGCCACAGTAACCATGACTCATGACATAAACCCATTTACAGCCAGCTCATAGCTCAAAGAGCTGCCATCATCATTTCTGCTGCTTTCAGTGCTTGTTCACTACCCGTGGATTATTTCGGCGACGATTTGCTACATACATCCACTCACAAAATTAGCAGTTTTGATAGGCTTTTTTTCTGCGGCATAGATTGGGCACTCTAATTTGGTGTCAAACAGCCCTGGAAGCTCAAATATAGGAATTAGAAGAGATTTACTTTGCTGCGTGTTGTGTGGCATGGTCGTGGCAGGTATAGAGGAATTCTCTCTATGCCGCAATTTCAGCGCCATGTCTTTTTACCCCATCAAACACAAGTTTCGTTGGTATAGGCAGTCCATCATCCATCACCACTACCACATTCAGCTGCAGTGCTGAGCTGGATGGCGATGACTTTGATCAAACTCCCCCCGACGCGATGCGACCTGAGCGCATCACCACCCCACCGCACCAGCTGCTTTTGAAGCAGCAATAGGTGCACAGTGCGTGCGATCTCTCTGACTCTCAAGCACACACTTTCACGCAAAACACCTACAGCTCCCACCGCAGTTTCCCACGGTGTAGCCAGAGCGGAGGCGTGCAACGGTATGCACGTCTACAGCTTTGCAGCAATAGTGGTAGCAAATTGAGATGTTGAAGGAACGGGCAGTTGATCACTCATTTCCTCTAGGAAGAGTAGGTGGTGGCAGGGCTTGGTATCGAAGTGTGCTACTGCATTTTACTCACACTGGATAACCTCGGCAGTCAAGAGTCTAAGCCCTCAGTAGAACACGCCTATTCACATTACCAATTCCATTTCATCGATTCA